CGGGCGGGAGGGACAGACACGGTAGGCAGTGGGCCCAGACTCATTTCTATGATGGAACACTCTTCTTGAGAAAGATTTTACAGAGCTAGCCTCTGAGAAACATACTTCAAGATACACTGGTCTTCTGAGCTTTCCCACAAGCCTTTCACCTCTCGGATGTTGTAGCAAAACTGGTAAAGTTATCTTTCTAGAGACTGTTTCCGGTTCCTTCCATGGAAAGGGTGGGTCAGAGTGAGCCACCAATTAATCAAGCAAGTTGCATTCCTGTATAGGAAGATGCAGGGGGCAAAGGGGAAAGGGCCCAGGCTCTGGCACCAGGCTGCCTGGGTTTGAATCCTGACTCTATCCCTGACCAGCTCGGGCAAGTTCCTTAACCTTGCAGTCCCTCAGTTTCCCCATTTATACAAAGGGATAACAGTATCTAACAGTATCTACCTCACAGGATCACAGTGCAACCTGTGCAACACCGTAATGGAGCACAAAGCACTGGAACAGTGCTCGGCACACAGCATACTCCATAAACTACTGGCCTTTACCATTGTTATGTCCCCAACTCTTCTCTGTAAGTGAACTTCTATGTGTCAGGGAGGCAGTTAAAATGACAGATAAACATGACTGGTGGCACTTACTTCAGTGTCTGAGCTTTAAAGTCAAATTTGGCTCTGGCAGGTCTCATCTAAACACAAGAAACAATGTCAAGTTAAAATCACAATTCACGTACAATGGAAAGGACACATTTTCACAAGTTTCCGGAAAGCGAAGCAGAAAAACTCAATCTAACTAGTTCATTCTGGTGTACACATCTGGGCAAAATGCCACTCTTCTGACCTTAGCAGAACACTAGTGGATGTTTGGTGAACTATGTCATGCATGAGACTCTCCCTAAAGAGGGCTAGGCTTGGGGAAGAGATAGTGACAAAAGTCTCAAGGCTGAAGTGCTACTTCCCCAAAGCTGACCATGACTATTAAAAACAAAACAAAACAAAAACTAACAAAAAACAAAAATGGAGTTAGCCAGAATCTTACTGTTTGGGAGTTATGACTGTCTTACTCTTACATTTTCTGTTTGCCTGGCTTGAATTACGATCTGCAAGTGGATGAAACCCTGGTTCACCTCTCACGTCATCTTCGACTGTACATTTCTCATGGTGAGATCATCCAAAAAGTCAGATAAAGTGAGCCCTGAGCTCATTCTTTCTCTGAGGCTTTCCTGCCTATTGGGTAGCCCTCCCCTTCCAGAACTCCAGGCCTGGCTGGCACCCTCAGCCCGTCGCCCTTTCTTCATCATGTCTGTCGTGAAGTCAAGCCAACCTTCCCCCTCCTTCCACAGCCCTGCTCAGGTCTGACCTCCGGTTCCCAGGCACAAAGCTTCCTTTGACTTCACCTCTCTTCACTCTAATCTACTGTCACTCAGGAGCACAAATAACATTCCTCAAATACTTCCATCACATCACTTCCTTGCTTTGAAGCTGGCAGAGGCTCTCAACTGCCCTCAGATCAAATCTCAATTCTGAAGTGTTGTTAAAGCCTTTAGGTAATTTCTCCCCACTCGTACCTAACGGCCTTTCTCTCTGTTACACTCTTCCCAGGCAAGTCTGTTTGCTACACCTTGGCTAACCCCCCTTCTCCGTCTGGAATTTCTTCACTTCCAATTCCAGCAAAAAGTTCACCTTGACTTACCCATATGTAATCACACATCTTTCCCCCCCCAGCATTAAAAGTAATTATTTTAACTCTTTTTCTTTTTTAAAGAAAGGTAGGGGAGAGAAATCATGTGAGCAAGCTGTTTACAGCTGCCAATATAATTCTGATCCCATGACTTTCTGGTCGAGGGAAACAATGTGATGAAAATCAAATCTCACACTTCCTCTTCAACATGAGAGGGCATGGCCAAGGTAGAAGGGAAAGACGGGAGACTCCAGGTGAGGAAAAATGGTATTGAGAAACTTCATCAAGCTTAGTTTTAGGTTCTAATCCCTCAGTGAGATGCCCCATATGACCAGACTCCTCAAGCTGGGGTCTTGGAGAGATCTTTTTTAGGGCCAAGATTTCTCCACAGGAATTTATTTTTGCATTTTCATGCTGATGTTTCCATCCCTCTATCTACACACATGCATACTGGAGGTCAATTGAATGACAACCTTATAACCAATGCTACACAATTTCAATGCCTCACTGTGTCTGTCCGTGACCAGGGAGCATAATTCAACAGCTGCAGGCAAATGAGAAAAGAACTGATGTGGGGTTAATAATAAATGACAAATTCACAAGAGAAGGCCAAATGACCAAACTGTAATGACAAACACTGCATAGTGATTCCAATAAACGTGGTCACCCCATGGCAGCTGGCAATAGAGCTGTGTGAACTTTAAACATTTGTACCAAATAGCACCACATTCACACTTGGGAGTGGCAACTGAGTTTGGGTATAATCTGAGTTGTTTCTGCCTCCCCACAGGGTCTTGCACAGAACTAGTCCACATGATGGGTCTGAAGGTGTGTCTACACAGCCAGGTGCCCCCGGAAGTTGGTGTCTGTTTTCTCATGTCTGTCAGTCAACATCTAGGGCAGTGATTTTCAAAATGTGATCCCTAAACAGGTATCACCAATGTCACTTGGGAACTGGTTAGAAATGCACACTCTCAGGCCTCACCCCAGAATCAGATACTTTGTGGAGGGAGCCCAGCAGTCTGAGTCTGTATTTTGCCAAGCCTCTAGGGGACTTGATGGGCTCCGATGTGGGAATCACTGTTCTGGAAGGGAAGCAGGGTGGGTTGGGCAATTTGCCTGTCTCTGTCCATGTTGTTCTAGCCCAGTTGCATTTCCATGCACATGTCCTGTCTCTGTGTGAGTGTGCAGGCCTGGGCGCCTGGGCGGGTTCCCATCTTTCCCACCACTCACAAGCAAGCTGGTCTGGGTATGAGGACCAGCCATCGCCGGGCCTTCAGAACAGGTGGTTTTGAGGAGCTGGTACAACGAGGGCTGAGGGCTGTCCTTCCCTCACCGCTGACCAGCCCTTGCGAACTCCCGCCTCTCCCTCACGACAGCTTCTTTTTCTCCATCAGCTTAGAGGCCCCTCCCCTTCTAGCTTTCCCTCTACCCTGGCTCCCTCTTTTCTCTACCTCTCCTTCCAGACAACAGTTTCACCACTAGCCAGTGTCACCTCTGTCACTCAAAAGACAGAAAAAGGAATATTAATCGACTATTATATTGAAAGATTATAAAACTGTATATACTTTGGGTGCCACTCATTTCCATACCTGGCAAGCCCCAGACTCACACCAACCAAAAGCAGCCAACCTCAGCAGGGCCACAGAAGGGTCACGTGGCAAAACAAACTCTGATGCAAGATGCACCCTTCGGCCAGCACAAGGATTTCAACACGCTGACCTTAGGGTAGGAGGCCGAGGCCTGAACGAAGTCACTTCAAAAGTTTGTGTTTCTTCGTTTGTTTTATAATATTACATTTCGTAATCTCAGCTGAGAAACGTCAGAATCAAGGGAACAAATGAAATGTCTCTCACCCTCTGCTAGCTTATCCAACTGTAAAACCTTCTGGGTTTCAATGATCGTCAGCGAGGCTTCAGCACCGCTGAGCACGTCACTCAGTTAACTCTTGTAAACTGCTGAGGCACTACTGTTCTCATAGTTCATATTAACAGCACTAAGTTTTGAGGTCAGTGTAAACGATGCACTGCTAGCTAACTTTCGTAACCTAAGTTTCACTCAACCGTCTCTTCAAAAATCTTGTCCCCATTCACACCCGTGGCTACTGATGCACAGGGACTAAGGCAGAACGTTTCTAAGCAGAATGCACAGGCAACACAGGGTCACGATGAACGCAGGATGTAGAGGGCTGGACGCATGGAGGCAGCCGATGCTCTAAGGCATGCATAGGGGTGCGCGCCAGCAGGTCCCGGTCCCGCAGCCAGGCATGCTTGAGCATACAGAGCACAGGACATGACGGGACTCATGTCCACTGACCAGCCACAGCGAGCCAAAGCAAGCCTAGGGAGCCAGGATGACAGGTGCTGTTTGGAGAACTACTTTGGCCTACAGAGGGCAATGCTGAGGGGAGGCAAATATGGCTTTGGGTCAAGCAGCAGATCGAGGCGACCAAAACAGACCTCTGACCCAGATTTCCTTTTTGCCGTATCGTCTATATTGAGGAGGTCCCCAAAGCGCTCATTAGTGATAAACTGATGGTGCGTTGGAATGACGCCCGTGTGGCGTCGAGCTGCAATATCGGCCTCTTCTTGCTCGCGCTTAAGTCGTCTCTGGTCCGCTAAAAGTTTCTGCCATGAAATTGCATAAAATGGGCAGTGAATCATCTGGTTGAGGGCATTGGAAAACTGCCAACAAAATCAACTAAGAAAGAAGGTGCTGGGTCAAAAGGGAGGAAAGTTTAGGGTTAGATGTTGGAGAGGATTTATGGCTACAACCATGTTCTGCTATAACCACCCCTGAAGCAACCCTGTGTAGGAAGGAGACAGTCCTGCACAGGAGAAACCTGGGGACCACTGGGACACAGGCAAAGATGAAGTCCGCACAGTTCCACTGTCTGCAACTATCCCTGGCTCAACCCAAAGCCTCCTACCTCCTCATACACAGGCAGCCGAGGCCAGGTGACCAGGGTATATCCAGAGGGTTGATACGCATGCTGGGCTGGTGGCAGGAGGCTGAAAGTGCTGTCCTCGCCTTGAGTAGGCAGCGATGAGTCCCCACAGTGTGTTCCCAGGGTGGGGCCAGGGCTGGCTGACTCCTCTGCCCACATCAGGCCACTAAATCTGCGATGGGCTTTTATTCTGTGGGGCCTATGGCAATGAAGTCATTTTTGTGCTTCCTATGTCTGTTACTCTAATATGCTCGACAGAGTAGAGCTGCCCATTTCAGAAAACAGGGTACCCCTTCCCTCTCCTAGGCCAGCCAGTCGTTTCTCTGTTTTTAGGAGGCCTTAGCACAAGGCTATGTATGTGACTGACAGAGAGCATCAGTTACTTTCTTGCTATACTTTTAAACTTAACTCTTTCTTCGTTAGGTAAAATAAAGCTGAGTTTAAGGCAGGGGTGGGGAACGTCCGGCCCGCGGGCTGTATAGGGCCTGTGAAATCGTTTGGTCTGGCCCTGCCAATCCCTCACCAAAGAGAAGCAGTTCCTGCCATCACATTAGGGGTGAGTTAATTGAATGTTTAACCAAATATAGCAGGCTAATTTTTAAGTTGATAATTTTGTATGGCCCACGAGTGATGTTATAAATATCCAAATGGCTCTTGGCAGAAAAAAGGTTCCCCAGTCCTGGTTTAAAGGAATAGTGTAGAATATAAATACAGAAGATAAACTATGAATAATGGTACTTTGGTTTAGAAGAAATATTCTCTCCTAAATTAAGGAAAGAGTCATCTATTCCTATCTTTAAAGGTCTTTTAAAATAATTAAACGATGTGGCATTTCCTTATTGCTGATTGAAATGACCCTGTGGAATAGAATTTTAATGTGTTTTCTTATGCCATACCAAACATACATTCTTGGGATTAATATTTTTGTAGGAAAAGCATTAATTATAACTGATAATTTTCACATTTTTAATAAAACATTATTCTTTTTCCAGCAGGCAACTAAATGCCTCAAGTGACAGCCCCAAATGATGGTAGGCCCAATTTTCCTATTTTTCAGGGTCACAAATAATAAAGTAATGACTCATCAAATGGCCATGGGATTTCCAGTGCTCAGGTAAGTTGTTTTAAAGATTAAATAAGAAAAGACAAGGAAGTGCTTTGCAAAGCACAATGGAGCCCTGGTTTCCAGCTCCGCCTCTGGTATACCTTAACCTGGTAGGTAGCCTTGGGCAACTACCACCCTATTGCAGCCCTTTCCTGGATGAACGAGGGGATTGAATAGATGACCACTAGTGTCCTTCCAGGGCTGACACATGATCATTCCCTGAAATGCCATTATCATCAAAGTGAATAAGAAAGGGCTTGCATAGAAAAATGCTGGGACTGACACTCCGTTAGCTGGAAAGTGTTTTTTTCTGTAGCGGTTGGAATGGGCCAATGCTTGAGGCCAGACCTGTGGTGCACTGGCCAAGGTCCCGCGAAATCAGTGAAGGTGGATGGGGAATGGAGCAAAGTTCCCAAATCAGGGCTTGAATCTGACCTCAGTAAACCCACCCTTCCCACAGTTTAACCACATAAGCCAAAAACCATGGATAAAGACATGTATGTTTTTAAGGGTCTCTGAGACGGTGTTATTCAGGAAACAAGCTGCTCATGTTCTGAATGTACCTCTTAATACATCGATGGCTAAACCAACTAAGTAAAATATGCCTCCTGGGTGGTAGGCAGATCTAGCACAAAACCTTCTGTGTTGGGCACTAAGGTTTACACTAGTGAGTTGGAAGGTCATCTTCTTCGACCACCGCAGTCCAGGCCCACAGGTGGGACTCCTGGACCTCAGGGACGGTGCCTCGAGATGAGTCTGTTCTGTGGCCTCATGAACATTCATTGTAAATGAGTTTTTACCTAATTATTACAAATAATTCTATGCACCAAGCCCTTCCTCTTTTTTCTTCCCATGGACACATGTGGGTGTCTTACTGCATACTGTCTGCATTAAGCCCGGAGAGGGGAGAGCCATGTCCTTTCTGTCTGTTGTCTCACCATCCGGCAGTAATGATTACCATCCGGCTCTCCTCAAAGTTGGCCTTACCCTGAATCCTTAAGGAAAACCCACCTAAACTCGGAAACCACTCAACAAAATAGAACAACATAGGACTTCAGACTTAGTACAGAAAGGAAGAACTGCATAGACACGAACACCCTCCACCTCCGGCCACCGGGCTCAAAGCGGTTCTTCCACCTTAGTTCATGACAGGAAACGGGCATTGCAGCTTGTTTCTCTACAGGACCCTTTCTCCTGGGAAACGCAAAGTCTAGAAAGCACGCCTCGTACCAACACTTTATCACAACAGGAGCGGGTGACTGTGCCCATTTAGCAGATAGGCAGAAGGACCTGTTCCAAAATACCAAGAGAACCCACTGCTTTCCCAGCCCTGTCAGTCACCCCACTGCAGTAATGCGTCAGCAGCTGCAAGGAAGGGGCTCCTCCTGAAGGCTGGGGCGGGGTTTACCAGCGTTTATTAGGGCATCTCTCTTCTTCTGAGTTAAAAGGCCACTTCACATTGTTGCCGTTTAATGGCCACAGTGTGTATCGTGGCTGTTTTCCCTTTTCAGTTTCCGCTTTCTCCTACTGCATCCTGCCCAATATGAACTGTGCTCTGTGCCAGCAGAGGGATGGACAGTGCTGGGGGAACAGGTGAGTGGATTTCCCTGGAGAATACCGGGAGGGGGGACGGGAGAGTGAAGAGGGATACAGGGGGGCAGCCTCTTTCTGGACCTACAGACACCTAGAATGTTTACTTCCCTCATATCTTCATCTGTGGCACTTATAGATTTTAGAGATGGCACTTACCTCTTTATCATCATGACGTCTCCGAATGAATTCTTCTGTGGATTCCAAATAATCAGCTGGTATAAAATGTCTTGGTGATTCCGAATCTTCAAAACAACAAAGTAGAATTAAAACAGGCAAAGATTTAGTGGGAAACCAGGCTGGGAAAAGATTTCACCTTTCATCTGTTCTAAATATCAGATTTTTTACAGTTGTTGAGACCAGTGATCTATAACCAAATTCTGAAGGAAAAAAATAACCAAATTCCCCCCACTTTTTGGATTTACTTATGAACTACTGTAATACAAAACTCATTAGAAGGCAAAAGGTGAGCAAAAAGAGAGGACCCTCTCTGACAAGTGTCCCTGCGAAGAGGCGTGCGGGATCTCACAGGGACACAACTGTACACTCACACACACACAGGGCCACCGAGAGAGGCTGCCTCTCAAAAAACCAGGGTGAGTCGGGATTGGTGCCAACTGCAAGGGATTCAAGGGTTTGAATGAACCAATTTCTCAGATGAGCTAAACGGCCAATTTTTCTTTCCAAACAGAGTTTGGTGGTTAGTCTAAATGACATGGGGCTTTGTTTTTAAAGAAGAGCAGCCACTACGAGCCATGATTAATTGCCAAGCAAAACAAACAGAAAACAAAGGACGGACCAGAGAATGAGCACCGAGGGCACACAGAAGGAGGGGACAGAGCAAGCACAGTGGAGAGACGGGGAGGTGAGACTGGGCAAAAACACAAAATGCCACCTCCGAGGGCTGGTCCCAGTTCACTTTGTGGGTTGTTGTTTCTGTCCAGGCCGTGGTCTGAGTACGGCACGGGGTTCCCGTTACTAAAGGCCCCTGGGCAGTCCTCTGGGACCGCGGGTCTCTCCTGAGGGGGCTCTGGGGTCCGGCTCAGCCTGGCCATGGTGTGTCGGGAAGACAGGCGTTTGGGAACCAAGGGCTTCCCCCTGGAGCGGGGCTCATCCTGATGGGGCTCGCTGGGGAGGTCTGGCTTCCGGCCCACTGGGGGGCCCGAGGAGTCACCAGGGGCGGGCTGTCTGGGGTGGTGCTGGAGGGGTTTTTTCAACCGGAAGGGGAGGGGGCTCATCAGGTAGATGTTCCTGAGGAGCGCGCTCCGGTCCCCTCTGGGGTCTGGGCGCCAGCCAGGCTGCCTGCAGGCCTGCTGCTCGTGCCTGCGGATGGTGGTGAAGCGGGTGGAGGAGGCCGGGCAGGCGCCCTTGCACTTGTTGAGGCGGTGTTTGGGGAAGTCCCCGTGAACACTGCCGCCGCTGCCCTCTCTGCTGTCGCCAGACACGGTGGAGCAGTGGTCGAGCTCATCGGAGCAGGTGGAGAGGGGCTCGGAAGGCGCCAGGCCCCTGACGCCCACGGGGGAGTCCACGCTGCCCCACGTCGGGGAGGCGCAGGCCCCCCCGGGGCTCATCCCAGCCGCCTCCCTGGGCCGCAGCTTGGCTGACTCCAGGAGGGACTCGGCAGAGCGGGCTGAGGTCAGGCCGCTCCGGGACAGCACGGGCGTGGGGGACTTGCTCAGCCTGCCGGAGAGGTCCAGGGATGGCATGGACCGCGACCGCTGAATCAGCTGCTCAAAAGCCGTGACGCGGGAGGAGACGGTGTGCTTGGGGATGTGCTCAGAGCCCTCCTGGCTGGGGCCCAGCTCGCCCCTGGCCAAGGCCAGGCTGCTCCTCTCAAAGTGGGAGGCGAGATCCCGCACACTGGAGGCGGCGGCGGACCCCAGGAAGAGGCCGGCCCGGTTGATCTGGTGCATGTCACGGTAGAGCATGGTGAACTGCATCCCAGCCTTCCTGGAGAGCGGGCAGGGCCTCCTGGCGCTGGTGCCAAACTCCTGCAGGCTCAGGGTGCTGCTCGACTTGCTGTCGTAATCCCGCCGGGAGCGCATGAGCAGGTTCTCGATGCTCCCCCCTACTTGGAGGGGGAGCCCTCTCTTGGAATCATTCAAGGAACCCGAAACGCAAAGGTTCTCACAGCTCTGAGCCTTTTCCGACGGCAATAGGACACTCTTCTGTTCCTGCAAAAGGGCGCTAGGTGCAGAGAGCCTGGGTTTGAACTTGGAGGGGAGGATTTCCGAAATGCAGGCTTTGGCAGCCGACAGGGGTTTCTTGTGCTTACACACAGGGCCTAATGCATTACTAGTGTTAACGGTTCGGCTATGAACTGAAGATGAAGAAATCATGTGAGCATTCCCACCTTTACGATCCACTGGAAAGCATGCAGAATAAAATAAACAGACCCATTAGGTTAAAGCTGAAAGCTGCTAAAAAAAAAAAAAAAAAAAAAAAGAGGAGAGGAGAGGTAACATGCTCATCTGTCATAGGGTTTGTGTGTGTATTTAATTTTTCCAGTTGATGTCCAGAAGCAAAATAATCTGTGCTGCAAAGCAGGTGCAAAATGCAACGAAAAGATGGCCACCTTGCTAGAGTCAGGAAAGGCTAAAGCTCAGTTAATTTCTAAGGAAAGGGAATCAGAACAAAAAAAGAGAGAGAGAGAGAGATGCTTTGGGGAGAGCAAGGTTGGGGTTTAAAGGAAGGAGAGCTATTAATACCAGAAAGAAAAATGGCCGGTGAGAAACTAGGGAGGGGACATAAGAAGGCACAGAGGCCTGGAAGTGGACCTGAACAAGGCAAAAGTTATACCAGTAGCTGGAGGTTCACCCACGGCCAACACCCCAGTAACAGTGTGGACGGGAGAGGCCCCCGATAACGGCAGGCAGGCGAGAGGCCTGCAGGCTGCGCGCGGTTACCTTTAGTGGAGGCCGAGCTGGATGGTCGCTTGAGCCCACTGAGGCCCTGGAGAGGGATGTCTCCACCTTCCAGGACACTTTTATAAATCTGCCTCTCGTTTTCCAAGCTACCGAAATCCCCAGGAGCCCCATCTGACTCCCTCTTCACTGCGTGGAAGTTGGAAGAATATATACTGAGAACAATGTAATTTTAAAAGGAAGAGAGAAGAGAGAAAAAAAGGAGTTAGTATTTTTAACATTTTTCCAAAAAGTACATTTCCAGCTGAGGATAAGAAACACACTTTCTGGCGCCATCCTTCCTACAGGGCATTCTTATTTAGACATAGAGTGCGACAGACAGGGCAGGCCCACGGGTGCCCTTGAATGCTCAGGAATCGTGTCCAAACAGCAAACTGCCCTAATGAGATGACTGCCTTTGTGCTTTAACAGAATAACTGCG